GTACAAATGCCATACAGCATTATGTAAGTGTGCCATGTGTAAATATCTTTATCGTGGTCGTGGGGAAAGAAATGTGTGAATTTGTTTTGCGTAATTGCAGTCAGGTTTCAGATTTTGGGGCACGATTGAAACCAGTGTATCTTATTGCTAAGTCATTTATAGTGTGAATTCTGGTTTGAGCAGGATTGACTGAATTTCGATTTAAAGCTTTTGTGACTGCAGGGATTCATCTTCTTGGTTCTTTTGGTAAAGTCACATAGAAGGAAAATAATAAAAATAAAACAATAAAATTCTCACGACGTTTCAGCCACAACACAATTAGCCTTCCTCAGGTGAAGAAACAGAACTGTCGGAAAGACAGAGCTCCAATGAACACTACTAAGCTTGGCAGCGTATTTTAAGCTGGGTGGGAGGAGCAGAGCGCCTTGACAAAGGAGTTTACATATCAACAGAATAATTTAGCATTGAAGTAGGTGTGTTAATACAATAGATTAGCAGGATGTTAAAGTCAGAAATTAGCATGTAACTGGGAGATTAGCGTGATGTTAGTGTGAGGGATTAGCATGTAACTGGTCACGGAAGTAGCTATGTTAAAGTCAGAGTTTACATATCAACAGAGGCATTTAGTATATTAACGCTAAATAACTGCAACTACCCAACTGTCATACAATAAACCGATGTGAAAGAGCTAAATATAAACTACATCAATATAATCAATGTAAGCAATATACTCTCCAATCAGCTGAGCTACTAACAATAAGTCATTATACATTACAATTCTATGTCGAAAAAAGTGGCGGTTTCTTTTTTTTTCTTTTTTCCTCAACGTTAGCACCACGGAAAGCGACGAGCTTTGCTCAGACGGACGAGTCCATCTATGCTCGTAACGGAGGAGGGGGGAGAGAGGGAGAAACAGCCACGATGCGCTGATCTGTCCTGTGTTGTGTTACAATTATGCTATAAACTAGACTACTATACATTACAATATTATACCTTCCAATCTAGACTACATTGTATAATATTGTATACACAGCCCAATGTAAGCTCTAACATTATGCATTATATTGATATGCCTCCAACTAAACTTTTTTCTACATTACACGACTATACACCGTAATATACACTGCCATAGACAAACCCCACCTTTGAATTATACAATGCGTTACTATACACTACCCTATACTTTAGATTATAAAAATATTAGACTTGTAATATTACACTATGTATTATTCTACCAACCCTACTGTATACCACACTGCTGTATATTCACTATACAATTACGATACTATATATTGCCTTATGAATTATGTTAAACATTACACTTATACTATTTATTATTATACAATATGCTATAAACCATTCCATTGACCGTCGTGTGAAAGGTACTAAGAGGCAGTGCCAGCGAATGGACTGCGGTCTGAAAGTCACCGTAAAATACAATCAATCAAGAACCGAAATGGTTTATCACGTCTTTCCAATGATTACTAAGCCAGAATCCATCTTCTCGGTTGAAATTGTCTCTGTGTTTGTATATGTGGGTGGCCTCATGAACGAATCTCTCATGGCAGCCGGATGGCTTGCAGAGAACCTCCGTCTTGGAGAAGTCAATGTCATGTGTGCCCACTGAATTATAACAGTGATCTGCCACGGCTGAGGTGTTCGTCCTACCGTGTTTCAAGTCTGCTTTATGTTCACGGATGCGGTTCGAGACATGTCGTTTGGTTTCTCCAATGTAACTGCTACCACAGAGGCAACTTAGTTTGTAGACGCCCGGGTACTGTATGTCTGGAACCACATCTTTTACAGATGAGACCAGATCATGGATTTTATGTACTGTGTTGAATCGGACCTGGATCTTGTGTTTATTCAAGATTTTGGATATCTTTTTTGTGACCCCCACAATGTAGGATAAGGTGGTGGTTTTGAATGGCTCCTCAAGAGGATCCTTCTTCATGGTTGGAGTGATGGCTTTGCGGATTGTGTAGTCGGAGTAACCATTAGCCTTGAGAGCTTGGTGTACGTGCTTGAGTTCACTGGCAATGTGTTCCTGGTCGGAGATGCATTGGGCTCTATGGTATAGTCTTGATGAGGGAATTCTTCTGGGATGGATGGTGGTGGGAATCCGGTTTTAAGTAAGCATCCGTATGGGTAGCTTTCCTTTTGACAGAGTAGCTCATTGAACCATCAGGTCTCCTTTTAATTAGGACATCCAAAAAGGGTAGCTTGCCATCTTTTTCGACTTCCATGGTAAATCTGATGGCTGGGTGTATGGAATTGATGTGGTCGAGGAATTGGTCTAGAGCAGGCCGGCCATGTGGCCAGATGACAAACGTGTCATCCACGTACCTCTTCCATAAGGTCGGGCGTAGAGTGGCAGTCTGGATGGCATCAGTCTCAAATTTCTCCATGAAAACGTTGGCTACACATGGAGATAGGGGGGAGCCTATTGGGGTGCCCTCAGTTTGTTTGTAGAAAGTTCCATTCCAGGTGAAGTATGTGTTGGTTAAGCAGTGTCTCACCAGGGGGGGGGGTACATCAGTATGTCTTCAATGATTGTGATGGTGTCAGGTACAGGAACTTTGGTGAATAAGGAAACCACATCAAAACTGATAAGCAGGTCGTCTGGGGATAGGGAAATACCCTTGATTGTCGATACCAGGTGAGTCGAGTTTAGTACCGCAGAGGTGGTTTTTCCAGTAAAAGGCCACAGGATTTCAGACAAAAAACGAGCCAGTTTGTAGGTGGGAGAGTTGATAGTAGAAACTATGGGACGAAGGGGTGTATCTTCTTTGTCTCTTTGGAAGGCCATATAGTCTTGGTGGCCTGGCCGCAGAAGGTTTCAAAGAGAACTGTTTTGTTTGATCAATTAATGCTACTTCAATGCTAAATTATTCTGTTGATATGTAAACTCCTTTGTCAAGGTGCTCTGCTCCTCCCACCCAGCTTAAAATACGCTGCCAAGCTTAGCAGTGTTCATTGGAGCGCTGTCTTTCCGACAGTTCTGTTTCTTCACGTGAGGAAGGCTACTTGTGTTGTGGCCGAAACGTCGTGAGAATTTTACTTTATTATGTTTTATTTTTATTATTTCCCTTCTACGTGACTTAACCGAAAGAACCAAGAAGACAGGATTGACTGGTTTCCATTTTTTATGGCTACCACAATGTGTAGGTAATTCTTTTCTGCCCCTGTTTTCTTCAAAATTGCATAATAGCCTAGACCTGTGTGATAGCTAGAGATAACTGGCACGTGGATGGTGAATGTTTCTCAAGAAATTGTTGGGTTTTTTTCTATGCATAAGATTTAAACAATGCATTGTTCGGAAAAAAACAAACAGGAGCAAGTTAGGAGCATAGGTTTTTTTCCCCTTTTATCTGGCAACAAAACAGGTGTTAAGTTGTTAATACACCAAACTGAAACCTTTTACGTCTGCATTAACCACAATACTTGTGGTAAAAATGCAAACAAAAACATACTCTGATAATATATGCATTGTCTTTTAAACTTATTGGTCCACACCAGCGACAGCTTTCTTTTGAGCCTCGGCTCAAACGGTGTTAGACCATAGGACGCCAAAAGGTGTACAGCACAAAGACAATGCCACTCAGAGTAATGAGAGCTCGGGGTGAGTATCTACATCGTGGGACCTCTTGCATATATTATCAGTGTGTTTTTTGTTTGGATTTTGACCACAGGTATTGTGGTTAATGCAGACATGAGTCGTCGTAAACGGTTTCAGTTTGGTGTTTTACCAACTTAACACTTAAATTTTGATTTAAAGCTTTCGTGACTGCAGGGATTCATATTCTTGGTTCTTTCGATAAAGTCACGTAGAAGGGAAACAATAAAATAATAAAAATATAAAACAATAAAATTCTCACGACGTTTCGACTGCAACACAAGCAATCATCAGCTGTGTTTTTTTTTTACACCTGATGATGATTGCTTGTGTTGCAGTCGAAACGTCGTGAGAATTTTATAATTTCATTGTTTCCCTTCTACGTGACTTTACCGAACTTAACACTTGTTGCCAGATAAAAGGGGGAAAACCTATTCTCATATTTTGGTACTGGCAAAGGAGGTCCCACGAAGGAGCTAGCCCTACTTATTTTTAAACACAAATATATGTCCCCAAATAGTATTTGAAAATGTGACCCACTTTAAAAAGAGTAAAAGTTTGCATATCTGCAATAAAAAAAATTGGTGCTGCTCTGACCATTGTGGAAATCCTCACAACAAAAATTATCCCTCATCTTTGTGGAATATTTTTGGCATTCTACCCAATCGTCACAGGACGTTTTCAGTTGGAGGGTTATTTTATCGCCATTGTGAAATCCCTAGTTTGGGCTTTTAGTGCCCTCTGCCAGATATCGTAAAAAAAATCAGAAGTCTTGGGGGATGTTGCAACCCATTTATACATTTTAAAAAATTCCCACACTGTTCTGCGACCAACTCGCTGATAAAATTTGGCTTGGCTGAAACCGAAAAGATAATTGCAAACTGGAATCGAGTTGTCCACAGTATGTAATCTATTTTACCAGATGTGTTTATGTCGATCATTGAGGCTACAGTCAAATTTGCTATCGATGTACGAGTAGCCAAAATTAATTGATATGTTTTTATGTAATGGTTCTTTACTCTTAATTGTTAAGGTATTTTTTGCCATTTGATAAAAAATGTATGTACCCATTAACAATTTCATACCACCCAATTGTCAGCATTAGATTTTACAGTACTGCTGAATGGGAATGAATCATATTTAAGTAGTTGTCTTTGTCTTGTCTGCAATTATATTTAATGCCCTGTATCTGCAATCCATGATTATCTCTCATGCATGTTTTGTTTTTAACATGGTAACAAATTGTAAATGTAATGTCTGCTGACCCTTATGCTACCACTAGGATTGCAGGACCTCACAGTAAATGAGATGTGCATCTCAGCTGTGAATCCAGGGCAATGTTTTAAAATTAATGAGGTATAATTAGATTTTGTGTCTTTTTCAGCTTTTCAGAGAAGTAAGAATCATGAAGATTTTAAACCACCCCAATATAGGTATGGATGCCACCAACTATATTAATAATGAATGTGTTCTGTAAAGCTTCATCATGTTTCGTCTTTTAGGAGGGTCCTGCATTTTAGGACATTTGGGCATTTCACAAAAACACTTAATTGCAGCATGTTTAACTAAAGCGGAACACATTGAATATATATCCCCGCAATTCATTAGCTCCTGCAGTGCTGACGTGAATTATTTCTGTGTTGTATCCACTTTAAAATGTATTTAGAGTCAGTATTCTGCTGCATTGTATTTAATTTTAAAGTGTACGCTTGTGTTCCTTGCGTCTTCTTAATTTGTTTGTTTGATTTTTTGCAGTTAAATTATTTGAAGTTATTGAGACGGAAAAAACATTGTATCTCGTCATGGAGTATGCAAGTGGAGGTAAAGATCACTCATTAATTTTCCAGTTTCCTCTGATGTCAATGACTTACTTTTTGTTTTTTGAAAGTTTTGGTCTCTCCTTTCTCCTTTTCCTCCATATGGCACTTTGGGGGGAAAAGTTCAGTCCAAGTTTTTGATACCACAGAGGTCGCACTGCTCCCTGCGAAATCAAGGTTCTCCAGTTTGTAACCTGATCTCATCCCCCAACTCTGACTGGCACCACATCCGAAATGAGTCACTCCTCTGCAAGAAACATTCATGATAAGCCCCGCTGACCCGTCTGCTTGTGGACGTTACGGTCTCGCTGAAGTGCGGTATTTTTTAACGTGTGCAAGGTGCTGGAGTGATGTCGAAATAACCACCTGTTAGATCATTTTTGCCAAAACCAACTGGCCCCTCAATAAATTGTATATAGTCTATGGGAGTTTCCCTATTCCCTTATATAATGGGTACCACTATAGCGAGATGTTAACTACCTCGCCTGGAATACAGGAGGTCGTGGGTTCAACCCCCGTCGTGATGCCTGAATATTTGGAGTTTGCATGTTCCTCCCTGTGGTCGTGTTGATTTTTCTCCGGGTCCTCCGGTTTTTCCCCTCTACATTTATAAACATGAGTTTATTTGGCTGCTATAAATTTCCACATGATAGCCACTTCGCTGAGCTTATTACTTGTGGCCAGATCACTTCTGCAAAAATATCTGTATAGCTCATTTGGCCTTACCTGGTAAAATACAAATTGTTTAGTTTTTTTATATTAGTCACCAATGTCAGGTGATTTCAAGGTGTTGGTTTTGTCAGTGTTTTTTTGTTCTAGTTTCTTCACACTTTCGCTTGAGGAAAATGAGTGATGAAGATCACATCTCAGATAAAGAAAATATATAGCGTTATTGAAATACTGAATTGAACTGTCAAGTCTGAACGATTTACAAGCTGCATTTCTATTCGTGTTTATTAATGAGTCCTGTTCTTTGTGAACGTGCTAATTCGTTTTCAGCATATAAGGAATGCATCCGCAAGATAAATTGACGTTATTAAGTGTCGCATGAAAGTGTCTGTGTATATTTGTATAATTTCCTTCATTATTTGCACGTAATGGAAATTTTTTATTTTTTTCAGGCGAAGTGTTTGATTACTTGGTTGCACATGGACGTATGAAGGAAAAAGAGGCAAGAGCAAAATTTAGACAGGTGGGCATCATTTAACTTGTCAAAAAAATAACGCTGGTGTATTGTTGGTGAACGTACTATTCCCACTGAAACTGCATTCCGGCTCTCCATTATGTTGAACTCGTTGACAGATGTGCGTACGTGAGAATGGGCCTTCACTGTGGTGCTAAAGGTGGCCACGGTGGAAGTAGCCACCAGACTTCGACCACATTTCCTTAATTTGTGCTGTGCTGCATAATAAATGTTTCCGATTGGTGTTGGAGGCATTCATTTCTTTGGGATAAGTGGAAGTCCCTTACATTCCATTGCATTTAAAGAAACCTGCGTTAATAAAGGGAACTGAGGATGTGGCTGTACACAGTTGTGAATTTGTTCTGGAGATTTGCTCAAACAAGACAGCCATAGATAGCAGTCTGGCCTGGAATTGAATGCATTCATATTGACCATCTTCATTCGCTCCTTAAAGTAAAACCTTTCCCCATAATGGAAGTCTTATTCTTAATATCATTTGTCTTCCCAGAGGCATTACAACTCTTTCCATTAGAACGAGCTTGTTTTCTTGATATCGGTTCATTTATTAAAGAAATATAGAATAGCTGTACAAATATTCCTTGAAGATGGTCACAGAATACAAAAAACGGTTCTGGCTTGGAGATACGCTCTCAATTAAGGCTATGTAGAGTGACTTTAGAAGAAATATTTTTTAAATGTATTTGAGGAATGAAAGCATAATTTAGAATGGAGGAAATATTATCCATCTCATTTACGCTGATGAACAGTCAATATAACAACCATTGGAAATAATTGACGGAATATTGAAAAAGTAAAACCAGGATGCAAAGTTGCACTCAGGATAAATATGAGCAAACCAAAAGACGTCTGCAAGTTCAATTAACAAATGAACACATTTGTGGAACAACTAGAAAATGCATCAGTTGGATGTGTACTTAGGGCAGTAATTTGATTGTGGGAAGTTATCAAAAATATATAATAAAAAGGTGGGTGGTAGCAGGTTGCAGTTGTTTTGTAAAATGTAATTTTATAACGAAAATCAACATACCAATGTGCTTAAAGATCGAGATTTTCAATTGTAGTGATATTGCCTGCTATTGCATGCAGTAAAACATGGGCACTGACAGAGAAAATGTAACAAAAGATGAAAAGTATGAAAATAAGCATGGAGCTGAAAGAAGCAGATTAATCCAGGAACAAATGCAAAATTAGACGCAGCACACTGACTGATCATTTAAGTGAGTGGGCTTCGTCAGGACTTTGGGATATTGCTAATATTATTAAGTATTTTTTAAGTCTACTCTCATCTTTGCCCAACCCAACTCGCCAAAAAATGACATCCACCACAAAATGCCCAATTTGGTTTCGGGCTGCATGCTCTTATGGGTTTGCCACTCGTGTGTATATTGTGAGCGCATGTGATATCGTAGTCGCAATTGTTGCTCATAACCTATCCCTCAAAGCTCTGACTCCGAATGAACACTGGGTGGAAATCTCTGTGATAGTGGTCCAGCGGGAGGGCCCCTCGGGGATGTGAGTTGTATTAAAACTGAAAGCAATGCGGTAAAAGAGAGCCAATAATCGCAACAGCATTCTTGGTAGATCAGAGGTTATACCCGTGGATTTAGAGGTTGTGCATTCAGAAATGTTTACGGTTGCAGATGCTTATTATAGTCGAAGAAAAGAGTTTTGAGTTTTTTTTATCCACATCCAAATTTTGATAAATGTGTTTTCTAGAGCGCCTTGGAGAGACATTTTAATTTTCAAACCTGGTTTTGAAAATTTGGATGATCTCCCTTCAAATTAAGGAAGTACGTCCACATAATAGGGAGATTTTGTCCCTCTGATATGGCAAGACTGCCATATGGTAACTAAAGCCTTTTACAATATATAAGCAGTCAGTGCAATATGGGGCAGTGGAGCTGATGGTCATGTTATGCATTCACTGTTAATCATCAATCTTACTCCAGCAGCAACCTGTTAAACTGGCTAATCTATCAACCCATGTACTCTAAAAGCCTCTGTATTTTCCAGTTTAAAAAAAAATGTGCTTGAGAGGAAACTGCAGATGTTTGTGAGATGCAACTAGCCATTAAATGTGCTACATCTAACCCCTTAGTACTGCTTTTATATCTGCTTGCAACTACTGAGAGCATTACTTTTATATGTTGTCTTACTGTTAATGAAACAATGCCACCACTTTCATTATTGATGCATTGGTGTACGGGAAATCTGCTCTTTGTAATGATTTTAATGTTATTGAACTTTTATCAACAATTTCTTCATGTTTCCTTTCTAGATTGTATCTGCTGTGCAATACTGCCACCAGAAACACATTGTACACAGAGACCTCAAAGTGAGTTATTCTGCCAGTTACCATGCTTTTATATCCACTACACTTTGAGCATGTGCAAGTATTCATTTTATGACTTAATAACAGACGAATTGTTATTGAACCTACGATAACTAACAAGTCTGTGCCAATTGCATATTAATAACATTGTAAAGGTAACTAGATCTTTTTTTCCTGTGACGAACATTTGTATTTCTTTTTTTTATATTTTTTTATGTTCACATTTCACAATGCATGGTACTTATTTACGGAGCTTATTGGGATTTTATAGGGTTGGCTGATCTTATCTTAAAATAAACACGAAAGATGTTGGAAAAGAAGAGGGGGTAGGTGGGGAAAGGAGGCTAAAATTGGAGGGTTAGGAGCTGTGTATGTTGACTGAGTGGGATCTCATACAGTTAAAAAGGTGTGTGTCCTGGTGACACTGGGCCAGTGGGTCTCAGATATCTCGGGGCAGGGTTAAAAAAAATTAACAATTGATCCCATGCTCCTTTAAGTCAGCCTCTTTCAAGCATTGTCCCTGATGATCCAGGGAGGCTTATTGTGATAGAGGGAATTATTCCATGGCACTAAGGAAGGGGGTTCGTGAGATTTCCACATGCTCAAATATATATATCTTTTTTAATTAAAACGGGTCAACTTTTTTCGCATGGAGCACGTTAAGCAGACGTAATAACAATCTCTCATTTGCCGCATGTCCTGCGTGAAATGGTACTGTGGTGTTGATGAACACCCCCCCCCCCCCCCCCGCGCAGGCGGAGAATCTTCTCCTGGACGCCGACATGAACATCAAGATCGCCGACTTTGGCTTCAGCAACGAGTTCACGCTGGGCAGCAAGCTGGACACGTTCTGCGGGAGCCCCCCCTACGCCGCGCCCGAGCTCTTCCAGGGCAAGAAGTACGACGGGCCCGAGGTGGACGTGTGGAGCCTCGGAGTGATCCTCTACACGCTCGTCAGCGGGTCGCTGCCCTTCGACGGCCAGAATCTCAAAGTGCGTTTGCATGTTGGGGGGAAGAGGGGGCTGTGGGCCAGTTAAACAATTATCCCATTACACCTTTGTCCACAAACCTGCAAGCAAGCCGCTTACACTCCAGTGGTGATGCCGCTACCAGTTTGTCCTGAATGGTGGCTCTTATTGTGTGGGGGGCATACTAGTGATTGGTACCATGTACATGTATGTGCATCAGTGAGTGAATTCTGATGCACGTAATTTTATTATTTTAGTTTTAAGAACTGCTATGCAAAATTACAACTTATGTTTTTTTTATCCCACAAAGACAAGACCACCTCACATGGTCAAAAAGTGATTTTGCCTATGGTAATCACCAGTAATAATTTTTCATTCAGGATAGTTTTTTTAAAGTCCAGCTATGATTATTTTTTGGAACCTACATCACGTCTGGTTTTTGCCAACCGCATATATGGAAACACATTTTCATGAGGAAGTGTGGCAACAGGGTGTCGCGGCAAAGTAAGTTTAGAGGTGTCCAGATAAGTCAGAGGCCAGAGCTCATACCGTCTGGATCCTGGTTTCAAGCAGCTACCTGTGATTAAACCTGCTTCTCAAGAGTGAGTTGATAGTCTTAGCTCGGTCACCAATGAATACACAAAAAACCTGTAACATAAAATTTGTCTGCAAAATATGGCTGGTTTCCATGTATAATAGTTTAAAATAACAGTTTGACTTTCATAAGATGAATATTATTAATGTTGAGTGGCAGCATGAGTAGAAAATTGCTTTCCCCTATCGTGTGGACTAGATGTTACTTGAAGGGATCTCGAGAGGTAGCTCTGGTATCTGCTTCTATGGGCCATTCTCTGACAAATCATTGTACTGCTCTTCGACATATCTAATAGGATTCTTCAACTTGTTGCATGATACCAATAGCACAATTTGAGATAAAATAAGTTTGAAAACTGTATGTAGAAAATATATATTATGGGTAGGTGGTTAACCATGGGTAAAGAGCCGACTCAAGGGGGCTTTTTGCGCATGTGCTGTGTAGGAGCTTCGCGAGCGTGTGCTGCGCGGGAAGTACCGCATCCCCTTCTACATGTCCACCGACTGTGAGAACCTGCTCAAGCGCTTCCTGGTGCTCAACCCTGCCAAGCGGGGCAGCCTGGAGGTCAGCTGCAGTGCTTGTATGTGTGTGTCAGAGGTGTGCGCTGTTGAGATGATGCCTGGTTGCATGTGTGTGCGTGCTTGTTCTTGCCAGTTTCAAGCACGAGAATTACTGGAGATCACTGGCTGAAACAGTGTGCGCCCGTTCGATTACCTCGATGCGGGTTTGATTACTGGCATTGATGCTGAACATGTACATGACATGTGGTGTCTGAACCTACCCTGTAATGGTCCTAGGTTGACTTGAGCCTTAAATTATTCGCTGATCCAGTGTGTGAACTTAAGCACTGGGAATAAAAAGGTAGCTTGATGCCGTGCTGGCCTCACCACACGCTCATGGGTTTTCTCAACTTTAATTGATGTTGACAACACTGTAAATTTGGGATGCTTTTTTGCCTTCATTTTTGGTTTTCCTACAGCTAAAAACCATCTGGGTGTTGCTGGTAAACAGGGTTTCCTTTAAATATATATTGAAAATCCTGTGGCAAGGTTGGAGTCTTGGAAAAGTGTGTGTAAAACGATACTAGCGTGTCCTATTGAAGATTGCCTTCTGCGTCGGTGGTTGTTCCCCGAGAGGCTGGCCTAGCAGGTGCAGTGGTCTCGCTCTGGCAAGGGAAATGTATGCCCCATAAGGTATACAGTTGCTCAGAGTGTTGTCCATTTGACCCTGTTTACAGGAAATGCTGTTTTGGAACAGGGGGCTTAGCACAGTTTATTCATAGCTTATGCACAAGTTTATGATTAGGTAGATGAGTAGCACTTTGTGGCATGCAGGAGCTATTTTATTACAACTGTATGGTATGTCATGAAAGCCTTTTCATCGTAGAATAGTTCTACACCCATTCATGTATGAACAAGTTCCTAAAGTAACAGACCTTATCTCTTACCATGACGTTAGCACATACATTGGTCATTATTTGAAGAAATGGGCCTGTTGATACCTGGTTTACCAGATGTCTCTGTGTGGACAGTTGTAAAAGGAGACTCGAGCTAGACTAAGACAAGAGGCTAACCTCCCTGTTCCTGATGACGAATTTATGTTCTTCGAGTGCTCGTATCAACTCTCAAGCATCGGCATCGTGTCTTATCTTGTAAAGTGTTGTGCTTTTTTGATTATTTTGATAAAACTAAAATAGCAGCATTCTTAAAAATTGGTTAAAATGCACGATTGTTTTAAATATAGCTCACAATGTACATTACATTGTGTTTTGGGGATTTTTACTGGGATTTTATGCGCTGCATAGCTCACATGGGCTGCTGAAGTGAAGAACAAATCTTAGGCAAACCCAAAATCTGCACCATCAGCCGTGGGATTGCTTTTGGCACCAGTGGAGTAATTGAGTGAAATTTCATTCAACTTAACAAATACATTCTTGGTTCTTTCGGTAAAGTCACGTAGAAGGGAAACAATAAAATAATATTGTTTCCTTTCTACGTGACTTTACCGAAAGAACCAAGAATATGAATCCCTGCAGTCACGAAAGCTTTAAATCAAAATTTAACAAATACAATTATATTTTTTTTAGCATGTGTTATTGCCTTGTACAAATGTACAATATCGTTTAGCCAATTGTCTACATTTATTTTTGTATATTATGTGCTGTATTTCCCAGGTCTTCCTTGCACAAGGAGACATTTTGTCTCCTGTAAGCTTTCATCCAGTTGTAAATAAAGGTTGTTCTACCACAGTGTGCAGCACTCAAGCTTTACGGTGGGGCTCAGTGGAGGGCTTTTGCAGCCAATCTGCATACAACCAGTTGTGATCTTGTGGCTTTCAACAAATACAAAAGTGCTCTTATAGGAAACTGTAGTTCATAAAGTACATGGAGGACCGAGTGTTGAGTGTGGCTTCTGTTTTTAGGTTCAGCTATTTTGGACATATATTCTATGCTGCTTTTGATATCCTAAAATAACTTCTCACATTGAGCAATGAAGCATTCAGCTCTATGCAATCACAGTGATACAGTCGACTATTGAATTATCCGCATGCGGTCTATCCGATTTGCGGATTAACCGCGCACCTGAGATTTTCACGGAAAGTAACAACTCATGGATTTTTTCTTAAGCCCAAATGAATCATCTAAAAAGTGATACATTGTTGTTCTTGGAAATGTTTATTACAAGTCATGTGCTTAAACCGAACAAATATGTGCTCCGGTTAATCCGAAATCCACGTGAACGTCAGTACAGTACAGTAGTTGCATTTCTTTGACAGTGGGTGGAATTTGATTTTGATTGGTGTGGCTCTGCTATCCGCTTAGTGGGCGGAGTCGTCTGCGCGGCAGAAGGAAAGTGTTATTACTGAGCACACACATTGATCGGTCGATCGTTAGTATTCGTTCTAAATCAAAATCACTTTTGTATGGACTTTTGTAATAGAACAAGGTCAATACATTATTTAATACAAATTATATTTTTGTTCACAAACAAGCTCGATTTTCTTAATTTAAACATAATTTATACCTATATTAGTGGTTTTTGGCAGAGATCCGCGGAAAATTAATATTTTTGGATTATCCGCCATTTTTTATTATCCGCGGCCGTCATTGGCGCGGATAATCGAGAGTACTGTACATAATTTAAATTCTGTTGTTACGTTTTGCCATGAAATTTCATACTGTTTACAGTAAGGTACGAGGCAGGTAGGAACCCCTACCTCAGCAATAATAGGTGTCCTCTGTGGTTTCCTTTAAGCAAAGATAACTTTAATAAAGGATACAAAATGTTAGTCAAGGGTTAAATTTATCGTTCATATTTCACCACGTAATGATGCATTACAAGTGAAGTAGCAGCTCCGCAATATTGAAAACCATAGGCTGTGATGCAGCGTGTTCACTGGCAGGTGTTAATGAACACAGCTTTGTCACCGATTGCCATAAGTGGGCCAATGTGAGGTTGCTTCACAGCCAAACGATCGCTCCCATCCACCTACAATTACAGTTAAATGTCACTGTTGTCATTCAAGTTGAGCCCACATTGAGTATTTTATATATATTTTTTAATCCCTTGCAATTCAAAGTGTTTTTTTTTCCATTAATCACATTGGTTTCTAGGTTGATACCTTTCTAAGTATTGTCCCATTTCACCTTTTAGTTCTGCTTTTATAATGATAGCTGTGCAGAGTTGTCAATTTTGATACAAACATTTTGACTTGAAGGTTATATCTAAATTTTAGCGTTCAAGCCTAATGGCAAATTGTGTAAAAATATGCGGTGTACAAGTCCCACTGCATTGACAACTGAACTAAATGATGCTACTTGTTGTACTGTGTTTGTGTAAGGCAGATGCCAAATTCTTCAACCGTGTCCACTGTTTGTGTAGTTTAATTCGGGCATGCAGGAGGTGGAAGCATGTTGTTTAACTCCCACCTTGGTAGTAGCCTCGTAGGTGTGCACAAGGTGCGATTCACAGTTTTTAATGGGAAATAGAAAAATTGCCGCTGGCGATTGGAGGTGGGTGCTTTCTCCTGTCACTTCTCAGCAGTGTGCCTTCTCATGTTCAATTGCAAGCTCGTAGTTGTGTCACCGGAATAACCCAGGAAACTGAGACACCATCCTCAAAAGAGAGGCAGGGTTGGCATTCATAAAACAGCCAAGATTTGGATGAAGCTGTTGATGTCATTAAATCCACCATTTGTCTCTTTAGTTTGTTTATTATATGTGTTCTGTTTTTTGTCTGTATATAACAATGTGAAAATGTAATTCTTTACAATTTTCACGTGTTTAATTCGTATTTGTATCCTTATTGTATTTGTATCCATCATGGTTTGATTTAGGAATGTGTTAACATTAATGGGTTTTATTGTAAATGTGTACAGTTTTTTAGCTCATCTGTTATCATGAGCATTAATAAGACAATGTGACTAGACTGGTGTCTTCCTTGGAAAATGTAATCCTGGGTGCTCAAACAGTATGTGACATCAACAGTCGTGATGTCAACAGTGCATTCATTATGCACTGTCAGCTGTTTTGAAATGTATGATTTAGAGTTTTCTATTTGAGCGTGGAAGGGAATGTACTTCTGATTTTCCTTCAGCTAGCAGCGGTTGGGTGTTTGGTTTTGCTGGAGCTTGTGTGATTCTTTCTTTGCATATTCCTGCTTATGTTTACTTGTTGCTCAGAAAACGTAAATAAAAGCACAGCAGTAGTACAGCACTTTGCTGTGGCGTAAACATGCAGACTCGAACTTAATAATAAATATTGGCGGTGCTCCCACATGGGTCCGATCTTTATAGTAAAACAAGCAAGGGGCAAAAGGTTCCACTGGCCTAAGCGATAGCATTATCGCATGTTGTGGCTACTTGTGGGAGGGAGTGATGACTGCCTTGCCTGTGTGTGTGCCCATGTGCTTTGTGTTTGTAGTGGGTGGGGCCTGTCGCTGGGCTTGCACCGGCAGATCAAGGGCGATCTGGCCAATTGGCGTTGAGTGGGTGTGGTTTGAAGGGCGTTATTGGACCGGCTGTGGTACATCCTCGCTTTGAGTGCCAGCCGATTGGTCCAGTGCCAGGAATTGATGAGTCGAGCTCATAGTGTGATGGTGCCTCCAGCGGACACGTGCTGACCCTGGGATGATAATGATCCCCATTTGCAGTGATTAACTGCTGCATATTTGTTTTGATATTGTAACTCGTGAGGGAGTCCATAACCACCAGCAGCTAAAGTTGCAATAACTTTCATTTAGTAATTGCAGTACAATTACAGAAATGTTTGGCAGAACTATTGCATTGCAATACTGCGAAAGCTGCTTCGCTTTGCACTGGATTGGCCAATACATTTCCCTACAGAAAATGAAACTTCTTGCCTGTGTGGCAATGGCAGACCCTTGGTTTTTTTTCTCCTGCACTTTAATGGGGTGGCATAATTGTGTAAAAAAAGAGCATTTCATAGGAAGGAGTGGGTTTCTGTTTAGTGTGAGTCAGTCTTTCAGCATGAGCAAGCTGTTTGGCAATTGTGTTTTGTGATATGGTGCTATGCCTCAACACAAGCCCCTGCTGTACTATAGGTGGTGTTAATTTTTGCCTGTGCATATTTACGACTTGCCCCATTGTCGCTAACACGAAGTCAATTCACGTTTCGTTTGTCTCGTTGGCAACAGCAAATCATGAAAGACCGGTGGATGAACGTCGGCCACGAGGAGGATGAGCTCAAGCCATACGTGGAGCCCACACTAGACATCAACGACACCAAGAGGATAGGTAATGCCTCACACGGTTGGGTGGGGAGGGGGGGTGGTCACACCTAGCCAAGACACGTCCATCACTGAGGGCCCTGCATTGGGAGCTGTTTAATATCAAAGAATGACTACAGAGCAAAAACATGGCAATGTAAATACAAAGTTTTTGCACAACATAGTATCGTAACAAAGCCAAATTCTTTTCACTTCACTGATGAATTGCGACCTGTGATAATATCCTTGTGATAATGTGATGACTTGGTAAGAACTGCAAGTATAAATGTGCCTGGAATATATTGCTATCGATCGGTATGATGCAATGCGAGACGTTGCAGCACTTCATCATAAAAATAAAATCCTTTTAGTTTGGAGAATGTGAAAGTTAATTAATGTTTTGACGGTGCCATGTTGTATGCAGAGACGATGGTTGAGATGGGATACTCGCGCGACGAGATCCGGGACTCGCTTACGAACATGAAGTATGACGAGATCCTGGCCACGTACCTGCTCCTTGGCCGCAAGCCCTCTGAGGTGCCGTATGCTGGCAGCTGTGATTGTGACTGGTTCAACATTTTACAGCTGTGTAATTTCACATTAAGAGCTGAAGTGTTGAGACATCTACTTTTTGGATTTAAGCAATTGTTTTACAAAAAATTTTATAAGTTATAAAACACAAAGCCAAGATGCATGTATAAAACGATGGAAGCTTAATTGGCAATTTGCCTACATTTTGCTTGACTAACTTCTTGGCTTTTCCATTTCAGCTGGAGGGGAGTGACTCGTGTTCCGGAAGTAACCTGTCGCTGGCCAAGCCCCTGCGGCCCAGCAGTGACCTCAACAACAGCTCGGTGCCATCGCCGTCTCACGGCAAGGTGCAACGCAGCGTCTCTGCCAACCAGAAGCAACAGCGGCGTTACAGTGACCATGGTGAGCCTAAGCACTATGCCTCGCTGTCATTAACTTTCCAGCCTAAATGTATGCCTGTGACTGCTAGGCAAATGCCCCCTGTCCACTCAGTGAAGGCAATGCCATGGTTCTTCCCCTCCTTGCCCATCTAACCTGTCCTCTGGCGCCCGTTCTCCACTCTTGCAGTGGGACCACAGATCCCACCGTCGGCGTCGTACAACAAGCGGGCGGGGGCCGGTGCCGGGGCGTTGCCCACCATTGACCCAGATGGCGATGCTGCCCGGGAAGATTTGACTAGAAAATCAGGCAGCAGTGCGAATAAGGCAGATGTGCCGGCAAGCCCTGTCGTCGGATCAGCCGCCAATCCCAACAAGGCCGAAATCCCTAACCGCAAAAAAGGAGGCAACACCCAGCCCCCGGTGAGTTTTTTTTTCTTCCCTCTGGGTTTTATTTTTACTGCCACAGCTTGTTCTGATATCTAAACCCCTGAATGCATTTTAAAAGGTGAAATTTTCATGGTGTTACAAGCTGCTCTTTATGAGCCCTCGGGGAAAAATTGGGTTTTTGGATTGCATGGACCTCACTTATGGCTACACTGTGAGCTTGGAGTGACATCCCAATTGTCACATCCTGCACGGGAATGAATGGAATGAAAGTGTTTCTTTTCATGTCCCCTGGCAAATACAGAACAGCGCGCTGCCGGCCGGCATGTCACGCCGAAACACATACGTGTACGGGGAGAAGGCAAGCGGGGAGCGGCAGACCAGTGTGCATAACGGCAAGGAAAACAGGTATAGGCGTCACGCACACTACGGTACACTTCCAGCTGTGGCATTCAACCTCAATGTTCCCTCACCCAAGTGTTTCCAGGGTGTATACTTCAGCCAAGTTACCTTTTAGAAAATATGCTCTGAATGAATTTTGCTCTCTTGAATTGAATACATAATTGGGACATAGCATATAAGGTATTTGTTTACGTGCGGCATTGTTTTCACGTAAACTTGGGTGCACGGCCTCGGCATTGTCAATCCAAGCCATTTGTGTAAATTGAAACGTTGAGATTGCTTTGTGCAGTGTTCATGTTTCCAAGACAGCAGGTTTGTTGTGCCCTTGGAACATGTGTCAGCTGTTGTGTGCTTGACTCACGTTGGTGACAATCTAATGGGTGCCTTTCTTTTGGTCCTTGTTCCCTTGTTTTGTGTGTGGTGTTTTGTGTGCACGTGTCTCACTTTTTTATGTGATTTTAAAAAATCCCTCCTACTTGCCTATATTTTTCCTCTCGACACCTCGCCTTCCCCATTTTACTCAAATGTATTCCAAAACCCTATTTTCGCCATCTCATGCATGGAAATGCATTGCAGTTTGACAGAAATGCCACCACTGTTTTTGGCTAGTGCCCGTGCCCCCAGCCCCGGTGCCATCCCACCTCTGTCGGCTGCACCGGGCTATGCCAGGCACCACAAGTCGATGTCAGCATCCGGCTTTCCAGCCAGACTCTCACTGACTTCCGATAAATCAACAGAGTCCCTGAGGCCAACGTAAGCGTGACCGGGTGGTTTTCCAGCATCCTGTGCGAACCTCCAACCTGCGGCTTAGTATACACAGCGCTGCCGAGACCCTCTTATAACACACTCGCTTGTCTTACAGTTGTTTAGCTTTAATATTGTTTGCCCCTTTGATGGATGTTGTCATGTGGCTTGCGGTCTTAGTGTTGTTTGAACACATAGTTGCTTGCTGTTGGCATGTGGAAGAGGTCAGATTGATGCTTGTGCACAATTGCATTTTTTCTTGGCAATGCTATTTTTAAAAAAAAATTGTTCTGCTTGTTAAACAGAATCTGTCGTTGATGTGTTTTGTTCTTTCATTGCATTCAATTGAAGTTTGTCTTCTGTTGGAATTAAATTGATCAAGTATCCAAGGCTACCCATTTTAAATTCTCGCAAGTTGACAAAAGTAACTCACAAGTGCCCAACAACTTTGGCTGGTGGCAAAATGAAAAAGAGCATGGCTAGATTTTTATAGATTCCAATAAACACTATGGCCTGACCAAACCAATACATTTTGTGGTGCCACAGAAGAATCTACCTCTGCATTGCCATTGATTACAGTGCCCTCTCCTCATGTCAAACATCACCCTGCTGAATAGAGCATTAGTCATGCTGAGAGCACCCTTTTGCGTGCTTTTAGATGTGCTCTGATGACTCGGTGCTATTGTGCCACACCACAGTCGATGCTTTGTCTCTCTAGGCAACGCATAGAATGTGGCAAAAGCAGACACCATTTGCCAGCCGTCCTGAGAGGTTGTTAAACTTATGATTTGTCAATTGTGATAATGTGCAGATTGTGGCAAAACCAAAGTAGATACTGAAGCAAATAGTCAATTGCATTTTTTAAATCTGCGATTGACAATTACTCAGTTTTCTACCCATTCAGGCAAGTCTCATCTCATACTGCTAATACACCATTTGCACAAGAACAACATGGAAAAAATGTGTTAATGTAGCAGTACAATTGCATTTAATACGATAAAATATTCTGAAGTTGTTTACGAAATTGGCCGAGGCGAGTGTAACTTGCGTAAAATGTATTTTTATAGTTTTCTACAAAAAAATGTAAAAGAAACATTTTTTCTTTGGAATGTAAACGTTATCTTTGTGGTGGTAGCAGACCACCAATTGGTTGCGGTAAGTTCTGTTTTAAGTTATCGGTGCTTCTGTCGACGTATTTGGCATGGCAGATAATGAAAATGTAGCGACGTCTCTTCCAGGAATCGGCGTAACCTGTATAAAAGCACTATCTGTTCTGGGTGTAACGGAAATGGCAATGGGACAGAACAATCTATCATTGCCTGACCATGATTCTTCTTCGTGGTTTGCTGATAATGTTATCAGCTTCCACCTAAATCATTTATTTCCTTCTGTGATATTTTTCCTGCTGAATTAAGGTTTTATGGCATTTGTTTAGTTTTATGGTATCCAAAACAGGAGAAAACAAAAGTGATGGTTCATGCTCTGCGACCAAAAGTTTAAATGCAAAGAAAAATCTTTATTCCATTGCCACCTGAGTTGAGCCCACAGATGGGGTTCATGCTGCAGCTTATCCAGTACTATAGAAGCCTGTAGGGTTAAAACTAGTCAAATACTTGGCGATTTTTTTAAGAGTGAGATGGGACCTGTTGTTTATTCAAAATAGGTGACGAAATCTGATATACCTTAGCCATTTTAGAGAATCATCTGGTCACAACATAGTGCCATTAAGTACCTTCCTGTGATGTCACTTGTTCACAGAAAAGCATGGCCCAGATATTGGTGCTCAGTAAGATAGGTCACAGCTATCTTCGATTGACCTGTTGCCAATAACACTGCGGTTATCGATAGAAATGGCAGCACATTGTTACACATAGTGTTAACAGAGAAATAGCCTGGGCAATATTAGCTGTCATCACTCTTTAAGAAATCGCTACATGTTGACTGAGCTTTTTAAGCTTTTAGCAAGACACCCGCACTTGTCGTTCACCTTAAACGTTCACCTTAAACAAACGCCGCCTTTGCAGCAGATTAAGAGCAAGGCTTCACCTCGGATAGGTGGGCAGGGGAAAGCCATTTTCTCACCGCCTTACATTTTTGTGTCCTTGCTGCCACAGCATCGCCCCTCACCTGTGCCCCGTTGCCCCTTTTATGCCTGCGGGGAGAGCAGCTCGTCATCCGGCCAGCGTGTGCCCGTAGCCTCCCCGTCGGCGCACAACATCGGAGTGTCTGCGCCGGGGCCCACGGGTGCCACGCCGGACCGTACCCGCTTCCCGCGTGGCAGCTCGAGCCGCAGCACCTTCCATGGCGGGCAGCTGCGCGAGCGCAAGAACGCCACGTACAACGGGCCACCGGGCTCGCCCACGCTTTCGCATGACACGGCGCAGGCACGTCAGCGGGGTGCCACGGGCAACATCTTCAGCAAGCTCACCTCCAAGTTCAGTCGCAGGTAAATGGCGAGTATCGGCACGCGTTTTTAGGGCAGTTAATAGCCCCTTTTTTTAAAGGTAAAAGTGGTCTGACATTCAGTGGAATTATTACATGCAGACTCAGGTGAAGTCTCAAATTGTGGACTTCAACATGTTAATCGGTTAAGTATAATGTATTTTTACTCTGATAAACTTGTATTGTTGTATTTGATGCAGCTATTTTCAATGTCTTTACAGTGTTTGGGATTCTGGAGTGAATGACATCCAATGTAAATTTATACTCCCAGAGTTGAGAGTTTCAGCTGCATAAATCCTCCATTGGGTATTGCCCGTACAAAGCATGTACAATGTTCTGCGACACTTGTGGGACACGCTTAGCAGTGATTGACATGTTGTGGCTTTTGGCTACGAGGTGTAGTGTACGTTAAGAAATAAATGTTTGTTGGGCTTCATGGGTCCAATATTTGCATGTTGTGTCAATGTGTGGCCAGTTTCCATCTTGATTGGCTCTCGGCAAATGACCGATTGGACAGCTAGTTACTCTTCATAGAAGTTAGATTCTGCCTGTCCCGTGTACCACACGTGGTAGTGGATGATGCGTTTCCCATTAGGTGTTCTTTTTTTTGTTAATAAAGGAAAATACTGGCCAGTGTCCACCCTTACTCTAATAGCGAGCCATTACTGTTTTTTTTAAATGCAACCAAATTTATATTTCAAGTCTGTTTAAGAAGACCAAAGGATTAAGATTCAAATTCATATGAAATGGGACACTGAATAGTTGATATGTAAACTTGCTGTTTTGCACAGCTGACAGCATACATGTATCCTTTCAAGTGTAGTCTTTAGATTAGCTCGTGAACATTTATTAAAGCAGAAACTCAAGGTAGCACCAGGGCCAGAGTCGGTCTCCCTCGTATCAACATTGTCACACTACGCAAAGTAATCAATTTAAACCGCGTTGACTTGGGAGCCCAGGTTGACTCGCACATAGCCACAAATACTGACTTCACCTTAACTTACTCTTCCAATGCAGTTGTAGAGTATCAATGCAATCATTTTCAGTATATATTTTAATTCACGTTACATTGTGAATTTTCTGCGAAGGTAAAAGTTATAATTGATCAATGTAAGGTTGTTTGTGAGTGCTAGTACTTGTTAAATATACACTGCTTTGTCGCCTAATAAAAATAATACCTTTGTTTCTGTTTATTTTCTGTGACTGTGATCTTATGTTTCCCCCTTCATTTTGTTTTAGAAATCTCTCTTTCAGATTCAGCAGAAGGTAGGAGCGAGTGCTGTGTTCAACGACCCTCCCCATAACTGCTTTACCCTCCCCACTGCCCCAGCCCTCCCACTCCCAACAGCCTCTCGGTGGGAATCCCTTCTGCTTCCAGGCTTATCTGTAAGCCTAACTCTGCAGTGGACTGGTGGTGGACTCGGATTAATTGTGCCTTGCACGAACATATACAAATTTCACTGACCGTCTCAACCGGGGTGGGTGTGCATGTGCTAACGATCTGAGGCTGCAAGCTCTCTGGTGGCGTGGAGACCAATTAACCCTACTAACATTGTACCAAGTGAAATGTCTCGTGTCTTTCATGTGGGATATGTGTTCCTTTATCCTTTGTTCGTGTTATGCCTCGTCTTCGGCCTGCAGCTCTGCTGGGGAAGGGCTTTGGGTTGTGCAAACATTGTGCTTGTTTGCTTTTCAAGCTGTCATTGTTTTGAATAAATGAAAGGGAATGCCTCTGTGATCATTGGTTGGTGTGTAAAGTGCCCAGAAACTCTCCTTATACAAAAATAGAAAAGCAAATACATAATGCAAGACATGGTCCGTGCACAAGAGAAGATGTATTGGTCATCGATAATATTTTATTTACTGAATTAGGAATGTTGGGGACGAATGCAAGTGAATTGCCAGTGCAAACTGACACCTTGACTTTCTTACCCCCCCCCCCTCGTACTTGAGAGTAGAAAAAAGAATAACGCCTCAAAAATGTAATCAAAATTTACTCAAAAATATTCAATAAAATTTAAATTTTACATTTCAATCAAAAATTTACACATGCGGACCACAGACCCCAAGTTTCACCTATTAAAACCAAACAAAGTGGGAAGTATAGCGGACTAGAGAGGAAGGTATAAAGGGGAGGGCCTGCATATGTTTGCAGTTGCATGTGTTTGTTCGTATAATGAGTTCAGTGGTACCCAGAGCTAGCCGCCAAGGAGGGGGGATGAACCTAGGGCCCACAGTATTTTCAACGGTGGATAACACCGCTCTACAAAAATGCCTCAGGAGGCTTCAGTATCCATCTAAGAGTACCTGGCAAAACTCGTTGGTGGGACAGACCACGTGGCTGTTGCACAACTTTCCGGTATTGAATCGGCATCTGTAAGGGTCGAAGAAGTAGGCGTAACCGTGGTAGAAATGAGCACTTAGTTTCATAAGAATAAATAACCTCATGGGACCATGAGCAAATATGCAACATTGAAGCGGCCTGGCACAGACACCTTAACTTTAAAGTACCAAGGCGGCGGGGTGAGGGTGGGTGGAGGGCACTCTGAATTGGTATTCCTTTGTTTAATCTTTTCGCCTTTGTCATGTTGGTGACCCAGGTCCACTTGCACATGACACTTTCCTCGTTTCTGAGTTTTTACCTGCTTATCCAAAAGACGTGGACCCTTCAGTGCACTCCGAACATTAAGCGTCCTCCACCTCCTTTCCTTGTTCGAATAAGAGTTAGAACAAATTTCGATTTGAAGCTTTCGTGACTGCAAGGATTCATCTTCTTTGGTTCTTTCGGTAAAGTCACGTAGAATGAGCATAAAATAATAAAATAACACTAAAATTCTCACGACGTTTTGGCCACAACGCAAGCGGCCGACAGAGCTTCTGTCGTCCCGATAGTTCTGTACCTTTCACCTGAAGACGGCCGCTTGCGTTGTGGCCGAAACGTCGTGAGAATTTTAGTGTGTTATTTTATTATTTTATTCTCATTCTACGTGACTTTACCGAAAGAACCAAAGAAGCGTTAGAACAAAGCGAAGATAGATATTTTCTATAATTTCACATCCACTTATACAAATGAATATGGGCAAAAAAAATGATACCTTGGAGTGAATTCCAAATTTCAAACATTTTTTTAATATTCCTGTCATTAATGTATGAAATTTGTATTTTTCTTTGTAATGTTGCTCTGTACTGTAGAGACAACGTGCAGTAACTCGAGGGGATGGTTTGCCCCCTGTGAGTCACTTAAGGTGTCCCCAACGTTTGTAATTCAGTTAGTGGCAGCGCTGTGTCTTGCTGCATCCATAGACCACGTCTAGAATCGTGTATATGGCGGCATCTGTTGTGAGGTTTGTGAAAGAGAAATGGATCCAAATAAATCTGGGAAGGCACTGCTGTTTGAAATATTTCACATCTGCAAAGAATTTGTAAATGTGAACCGATTTCATTAAACAGCTACATGAAGGTATTGTTTTATATTGAGGGTTGTGTCCGTAGATGTATTTTAAATTGAATTCAGAATGCAGCTTTGGCCACAGTATAAAGGCTACCAGAAGATCGTCGGGTGGGTATGCCTTATCTACACAAACTTTAAATGAAAGAAGATAAATAACACCTAATAAAAATGTATTCTTAAAATAACAACAGTAACCTACTTATCAAAAGCGTACGTGTGTTCCATTACAATGGATCACATATGTTCACTCATCCTTATTAAGTAGCATGGTTTGTGATACTTGCAAATATTACCAAAAGCATTGACTTAATAAAGTGATGATTATTGGCCTTTGAGATTAATCATACAAGGACGTAGAGAGTCGAGGCAAAGGTAATCCAGTACCAAATGGCATTTTTATTCGGAGCACAGTTTTGTCTCGCGCATCTTCAAAAATATTCTAAATCAAGGAGTGATGGCACGATGGAAATGGTGATTGTAATTGGGTCCACACAATACAAAAGCAGGATAGTACAGTTTATCCGATCAGATCTGTTTGTCTGAGCAACGAAGCAATTCGTTTTATGAGAATAGCCAAATACTAAGAGGATTGTTGTGGAGCTGCCTTTCTGCATTTATTGAAAAACGGGTGCTTAAAAAATACGCGCGTACATTAAGCGGCCCGTCTCAACCAGCTTGAGTACGTGCCGCTTAAAGTTCTGGCGAAAGAAGTTGCATAACAGATCTGCTTGAACACACCATTGTTCAATCGTTTACCTAGCACACTCATCTTCTGCAACCTCGTTTCAATGGAATGAGGAATTCTCTACCTGGAGAATGAGCTCATTCTTTGCCCCAAATAAGCCAAAATAGGTTACTATATTCACATGGCAAGTCATTATAGTTGCTATGCCAGCATAGGTGAACTTTAAAAATTAGAGGATAAGGAAATGAGAAAAATAGATGGGTAATGTAAGCCTTTGAGGACGAATTATGAATACAAATTATCTCAGGAATAATGGTGGCTTCATTGTTGGATAGCTGCAAGCGCATCACTCTTTGAGTAAGACCAGTGCTGCCACCTGCTGTAACTGTCTGCACAACTATAACAAATTAATGAACTTGCATAGAAGAGAACCACCTACATTTTATACCAGAACACTGTTGGTGGGAGGGGAGGGAACTTGGAGTACATTTAAATATTAAAAGAGCTAGCCTAAGGTTGCATTTGTTATATGAGCTACGAAATGGACAGGATCGTAAAAATGCAATGTGAACTAACGATTTGTCCAGCCTCGTGTACAGCTCATTCTCGGGAATTGTACATTGTGCATTGTATGTTTGCTTTAGCAATGCAGTCTGTACCATGTACCATTTACACGTGGATTTTCCTGTCCAGGGGTGCCGGAGAGGCAGGGTGTAACTGTGCATTGCAAATCTGTCGTTGTTTTTGCCGAGGGCATTGAATGAGGCAGAAAGAATCGGCAGATTTGAAGGGCCGAGGTGAGCACCCCGGATGGGGGCACAGCATGGCTCCCCCGCTCTCACACGAGCTGTCTCCACGTTGAGCAGAAGTCTGCACTGCTGTTGGCAGCGACCTCCATGCAGTGACACCCATGACACCGATTTTCAATTTCTGGGAAAAGGGGATGGCGAAGATGACTTGCGCCATGCGTTTGGTTCTTTTCCATTGAATGCTTGATGTCGTCCTTGCCCCATTCATTCATGAGCAAGAAAAAAAACTCACACGTGCACACCATACTCTTGGTAAAATAAATGACGTTGGTCTTCATTTTTTGTTTTCTACAAACACAAATGTAAATATATAAACCTGAAATAACCCAACTTTTAATCCGTAACTTATAATACCGATGGGACTGTGTGTGTGTGTGTGGTGAGTTTTTGTATTGTGTTATTTGGTGTTTGTGCGATGTTATGTAATTTTTTGAGGGTGTTTATTCAGTCCTTTGATGATTTGATAGCAATTGCACGCACTGACCTTCGAACGCATGAGCATGCGGTCCTGTGGGCCCTCGGAACTCATCATCTCTTCATTGCGCTTTGGAGTTGCACTGGTCCAGGCCTTGCAGGCATATGCGCGCCTCGATGCTCGCCCAGCTGTCTCCAACCCTCTCCCGTCTATGCCACCTGTGGTTTGGGCACTCTGCCACCTGCGTCAATTGGGCCTTTGTGCATGAACTTAACAATACTCCCAAGGCTGTGTTGGTTAAAATGCAGATCACATTGCTTGAAGGTTACTGCCAACTCCGATAACTTTATTTTAAGTATCTCATTTACAATTCCAAGATGAATATAGTGCGTTTTTTGCATTGTCTATTCAAACTGAAACATGTTGGTAATATTAACAATGAGCATTATTACGGTCAGTATTTTGCCATTGTCGCTTAGAAACATTTTATTGTACCGTACTATGCTATACACAACACAAAGGGTGTTAAAGGAGAAAATAGGGAGGAAAGACAAAATAATACCTTTTTGACAATTTTGGCCAATACACTTTTTTATGATTTTTTTTTACATTGCAGTCCAGTTTTTAAATATTATTTGCATTTGGTAATCCAGTCAGGTGAAATTGTGTTCAATGCCATTTTAATTTGGCCACAGATCGCTCACCGAGGCGGGACATCCAAATGTAGGGTCCCTCATGAGCATTTTGCATCTGGGAATAAATCCCAAGTGTCCAGAGAGCTCGTACACTTTTGAAGGCGGTAACACTCAACTCTTCCATCTTCAGGACACCTCACAAGCCCACACGTAAAATGCCTGGGAAGACCAGGTGGTTGTCCCTCCAAAGGCTAACTGGGCTTAGATCTGCTTGGGTCCCAGGATCTGGTGAGATTGGCACATTTAGGGTGATTTGGTGATATGTCCGAGCACTTTATGCATTGGTCAGGGTTTGCCGGAGCCCTCTGGAGTTGGTAAATGGAGTACCCAACAGCGGTTGTATTGTGCAGATGCTAACTACCACCCTAGGGAATGTTGACATTTCCTCAAGCTCAGGGCCACCAAAGGAGATGCGCTTTAAGCAGCACCAGGCAAGTGGGGTAGTAGTTGTTGCAGTCGTTTTTGATGTCCACGTGTGCTTGTTGTTGACAGCCGCACCACCACAACCACCACGACAATGGAGGTGCGCGAGGAGCCACGCGACTCCAAGCCGCGCTCGCTTCGCTTCACGTGGAGCATGAAGACGACGAGCTCCATGGAGCCGGGCGAGATGATGCGCGAGATCCGCAAGGTGCTGGACAACAACGCGTGTGACTACGAGCAGCGCGAGCCCTACTTGCTGTACTGCGCACATGGCGAGACGCGATCGGGCGCCGAAGAGCCGGTCACCTGGGAGATGGAGGTGTGCAAGCTGCCGCGCCTCTCGCTCAACGGTGTGCGCTTCAAGCGCATTTCGGGCACCTCCATCGCCTTCAAAAACATCGCCTCCAAGATCGCTAACGAGCTCAAGCTCTGACAAGGTGGTGGCGGTGGCGGCGGAGGCGGCGGCAGAGGCGAACGCTCGGCGGGCTCGCCAAGCCCTCTGAGGATTCTCCAAGTTAGAAGGCAAAAAACTACAACTCTGGAGCACATGGCCTGACCTTGGAAACATGAGCGGTGACACAAACTCTGGCGATGTGCTTGCCTGCGCTACGATGCAGGGATGTCGTGCACGGGCTGGCGGAGCTGTGTAGAGATTTGAAGATGTGCCAGAGTTGTGATTAAACGCTTGCTTTTGAGCCATGTGGTGGAGCAAGAGTGAGAGCGACACGTACACGGGGGGGGGGGGGGGGGGGGGGGGGGGATGTTATTTTTTGCCGATCCGCACCTTTCCGCAACGGGCACACTGGTTGGAATGCACAGATTGGTATACTTATATAAGCTTCCCAGTAACATCCAATTTAAAATCAATTATTTTATGTAAAATAAGAGCCGACGGATATGTTTAAAGTGTCCTGTATAAAAAAAAGCTATAATTTATGGTTGGTTTCAAAACAAGTGAAAACATTATTTTGCAAAAGCATTGTGAAGGCATGTAAGGCTGAGGCATTGAACCTAGGTTTCAGTCACTCAACTGGACGTCGAGCCGAGCACAGTGTTAAGCGTGGCGCCATCAACGAAACTGGGCCCTGGGATTCACAGCTTTGCTTTTAGAGGCGTCGTGCGTCCAGTTTTTTTTCCTCTTTGCCACTGTGGATCGCACGCCGTTTGCTGTATAGTCGCAGTTACCCTTGGCTCGGTGCAGTGAATGCCGGCCGTGATGTTGTACCCTGCACGGATGGACTGAAGGGATTGGGGGAGGGCCCCACTCCAGGGTTCTCAGCTGGGGACGCTGTCCCATCGGGATCGTCAAACTCGCAGCCCTGTTTTGCAACTCACAAGAGGGTTGAGTCTGCAAAGTAAATATGCGTTTATTACAAGCATTATTGATAAATATCTTACGTGCACTAAAACAACATTAACAATTGCAGAAGAGAATACTTACCCATTGATTTTAGTTCTTGTATAATTTCTTCATATTTATTAACGTACACGTTAATTTTTAGTAGGACGTACAAGCGAACATTTCCTCGGTTTTCTTCAAGTCGCAAGTATGAGCAAACCCCCACTATGTTAGTGTTTTATACTTGTGTTTGTGAAGACGAACTCACGAACTGCTGCAATCCCCCCCCCCCCCCGGTGTTTTGTACGAGGAAAAATGGGGCTGGCTGACCCTGAAGCTCCTCCGCTCATGCACATCCCGGGCGTCTTTACAACTGTGGCAACACTCGGGATCTTTCTTTTTTTTAAAAAACTATAGCTGTCGTTATGATCAGGTTCGTGCAAGCGGTCAATGCAAGATGTCAGATCCCTTAGCTATATATATCTGGTGCACAATTATTAAAACCCTTGTTGAAAACTCTGCACTGCCTGCCTATGTGTTTGGGTTTTTTTTGTTGTTGCATCTACACAAGCCGTGTGCGCGAGGGTGTTTTGCTAAATCAGACGCCTTTCGTAACGTGCATTGTAACTGGTTATGGAGACTACCGTGTGCCTTAGGCAAGGTAAAAAAAATAACTGCTTATTCTTTGCCGTATGACGGAAAATGATATAAAGTAGGATTATGTTTGGGAAATTGCCATTCTTTGGAGTGGAGAGGGGCAAAGGAGATGGGCCTTTAAGTCTGACTTCATTGTGAACATGCCGTTATATTTAAAGTTGTGCTTGTACACAACTGGCCAATCCATTCTAGATTTGAAGCTTTCGTGACTGCAAGGATCCATACTCTTTGGTTCTATTCGGTTAAGTCACGTAGGTAAAAAATAAAACGTGATTTTTGTTTTATTTTTTACCTACGTGACTTTACCGAATAGAACCAAAGAGTATGGCCAATCCAGTTACATTTTACATTTTTCCTTGGTCCATACAAAGTAATGTTGCTTCAACTAAATGGAATTGGCAGCACGCAATATTAAAATGTAATACGGTATTTAAGTGGTTGTGAGCTTCCGTGCGTGTACGTTCTTGCAAGGGGCATGACAGCAATATTTTGTCAATGCACCGTTGTATGTGGTAGAGCGTGCATTTATTAAGAGCTGCTATATTTTTTAAAATCGTTTACTGATTGCCAGTTTGATTACCGGATTAATTTGACCACGTGAAGGTGGTAAAATAAATTGTTCCTCCGTGGAGGTGATGGGCGAGACTTGATGACGACACAAGTACCGGACACGTGCCTCTCGGCTGGTTCGGAGTTTCCCCACATTCAGGAGGCAGGATGTTGCGAGCCATCGACATCTTTAAATGGACCCGAGTAATATACAGTACTGTACCTGAAAAGTCTAGTTGATTACACTCAATGACCATTGCAGCAGTAATAGCCTGATCGTCCCATTTGTCAAATTACAGAAAGTGAATGTCCGCGCATTAGCAGACAGCGCCCTCTACACGACAATTAAAAACGCTGCTCCTTCAGGGCCCAGAATCTAAATTATATTTATTGAGCGCCTTCGCTCAAAGCGTTGACAAGGATTGCCCAACATGCAATCGAGCCTTTGGGTCACGTGTAGGGCTGGAACAATGCGATCCCCTGGCCCCCACACTGCGTTGCATCGCCTCGCGAATAATTTTCCACCCCCATTGTCATCGAGCGAATGTGTGTGTTTTGTTTTGATGCTATGAATCGTAGCAAGGAAATACTGCAAGGTAACTCGTTACCGTTTAGTTCGGTTGCAAAATACATTAAGCCTGTAGTCTTTCCTTCTTATGCCATCTCGTTCCTGCCAATCGTCTTGATGGAAGAGGTAAGTAAGCCTCGGTGTTTGCCTCGTGCTTGTGTCAAGTCTCGGTTGTGTTTTATTCTAACGTTGAATGTCGTCTTCAGTCCGCTGAATTATATTCGTTTTTATAGTGTGCAGCACTGTCACAACTCTTAAGTATTTTCTCGACTGCTCTTTTTTCCCCCCCCCCTACACTTCCCATCGCAAGTTTTTTTTTGGTGGGGCGTCCATAAATGACGTCACGCGATTTTGGACAATTTTTGACCCCCCCCCCCTCGTCACACGGCGTCACAAAAAGTCAGACCCCCCTCAAATATGACGTCACAAAGCTCTGCCCCCCCCCCCCAAAAAAAACATTTCCATTTTGAAAATTAAACATGCTTCAAATCGCTTTAAACAAACTCAAACTATGATGTAGGCGAAAACACGTATTATAAAGGAAGCGTTGGAAAGCTGAAATTTAGCATAACATTCACTTGAAAATATTCATCTAACTAAAACTGCATATGTTCAGAATATTATATTGAAATTATCTTCATATATAAAAGGCAAAGTTGTGAATATGTGTGTTCAAAATGTTTAGCGTACTTCCCGGCATGCAACAAACTTGAAATTTGCCATGTGAGTACTTTCCAGACTGTACACAATTTTTGGATGTACACCATGCAAGAATTATAAAAATACACTTGTTTTAGGGGGGGAGCTCAATAATGGATATATTTTTTGCACGGCAAGTGAGCTGTGACGTCAAATCTGTCACGTGACCCGCGCGTGTGTAAGCGTAACGCATTGTAGTGTAGTGGTTAACGCGCCGCGCTACGAACCCGGCGACCCGAGTTCGATTCCCGCTCACGGCCACCATCGGTGACGATTATCTGAACCGGTCCTGGGCCTCCCCTAGGTCGACTCAGCCTCAAACGAGGAACTGCTATGGTGTTAACATCGCCACTGGGGAGACAAAGGCGGCCGGGCGTGCTGCTGGCCACCCACTTCCTCGTATTATCATATATTTGAGCTGAACACCTTTTGGCGTCATCTGGTCTAGCACCAATTGAGACCAGGCTCTAAAGAAAGCTGTCTCTGGTGTGGACCAATCAGTTTCACGGACAATGCATATATTATCAGTGTGTTTTTTGTTTGCATTTTGACTGCAAGTATTGTGGTTAATGCAGACATGAATCCTTGTAAAAAAAGGTTTCAGTTTTGTTGCCAGAAAAAAGGGGAAAAACCCTATTATTATCTTTTGGTACTGGCCAAGGAGGTCCAATGATGTAGGAACCATAAGGACAATTTAGATTAAAGTTATCAGTCTAACTCTCTACTACAACAAACAAATATGGCTAAAACAAAACGTTTTCGAAATCACCAACATAAAGCTATAAAAATCAATGTAACAGTGGTCATAGGAACTGTGATTCATATTTAACAATAAACGATATACATCACATGCACGACCAAACTTTGCAGCCATAGCTGGCAGCATGAGGCACTCCCATAAAAGTAGGAGTATCAAAAAACATTGTTCAATACACCTGTAAAGATCAGCACACTATAATAAAAACTCAAGATCAAACTTTTGCAGACGTTTCCCAAAAAAAAATTTTTGAATGAAAATAATCGAAAACACAACACGCACGGGCACGTTGAGTAACAACTTTGTTTCATCAAAATAATCGCCTATGTATTCATTATCGGCTTTTAACGAAATCCAAGGGGGGGCGTGGTGGTGCAAGGGCTTCAAGTAAAGAAAGCTTCCGATAGACGTACCCGGACCCCTTACCTGCAAGGGAATCGACTGCATTGACGGAATCACAGAATCGATACGAGCAGAGGTTTTTTTTTGTGTGTGTGACTCCACCCACCCAGCACCACCAAACCCCTCTGATCTGGCATCGCGCGGAGCCGGCACGCCACATCCACCGCGCGTCCACGCGGTTCGAAGCGCACTCTCGTCGAGGGTGCGTGAGAGAGAGAGAGGGGGCCTTGGAAGCTTTCCCCTTCCTTGTGGCCTCCCCTCCACCGGAGACCACATTCGCGTTGTGTGTCTGCGTGCGAATAAGGCGAGGAGGGAAGGGAAGGGAGGGAGGGAGGGGGAGGCGCGTTCATTGCGCGGGGACGATCGGTGCGGCCCTTTGGGCTCGGGCCCAGGGTAGGCTCGGGCCCAGGGCCCAGGGCAGGCTCGGGCCCAGGGCAGGCTCGGGCCCAGGGCCCAGGGCAGGCTCGGGCCCAGGGCCCAGGGCAGGCTCGGGCCCAGGGCCCAGGGCAGGCTCGGGCCCAGGGCCCAGGGCAGGCTCGGGCCCAGGGCCCAGGGCAGGCTCGGGCCCAGGGCCCAGGGCAGGCTCGGGCCCAGGGCCCAGGGCAGGCTCGGGCCCAGGGCCCAGGGCAGGCTCGGGCCCAAGGTCGCGAGCTGAACGCGCGGCATCAGCAGCACCCCACACATCGTGGTGGTGGTTGTTGTTGTTTGTTTGTGTTTATTAAAATTGTCACCGCGACGGGTTATTTTCGCAGGGAAGTTGAGTTTGCAGGTTCACGCGGAGTACAGCCGTTTAAAATACGGGGGCACCTTTGTTTAGTTGTCTATTTGTGTTTATAGCTCGCGATGGGACTTTTGTTGGGTGAACGTCGAGATTTATAAGGGGGCACGGGGTGGCCAATAAAGTCTGCGTTGGTCTGTAATAAGGTAGAGCACCGATAAGGGGTTTACAGGTGTGACTTAATGTAAGCAGTAATTTCCTTGCCCCTACCCCCCTCTGTCAATTCGCTGCTGGATTGAAGGCCTCCGTATCGATTGCCGGGGTTGTTTGACCATACTTCACCACGCTGGTCAGGGTGGTGGTGGTGTGAATGGGGGTGGCACCCCAAGAGCGTTTCAGAAGGCCGCTGCCCATGGCCCAGCCGTGTTAGGCCGCACCTCCGATTAGCACGGTTTGGCTGCGTACGGTGGGAAAGAAGTTCTTCGTATATAGTGTGGCTGAACGATTTGGGGACTATCTAATTGGGATTTTTCTGACAGATATTGCGATTTGATTTGCGATTCAATTTTTTGAAGTCAAGCAGTTCAATATTCGCTGTGTAATAGATTTAAATCACGTGATGGAGCATTGCCACGTGATACCATCAAAATATGAACTGCTTTATATTCTAATGCAAGGATGAGAACTTGAAATATATGAATTACCTTCCAACATGTATTTATTAAAATGTTTTGATTGAAATAGAACAATCAAACATAGAACAATTGTTAAATAAAATAATAAATAATAAAACATTTCCAATAATAAAGTAATAGGACTTTTTAAATCGCAAAATAATCGCAGCCTTTGCGATTTGCTAATCGCATTGTTTCAAATTGCGATTTCTATTTGAAATAAATTAATCGTTCAGCCCTAGTACATTGCCATGGGCGGGAATCAAACTCGGGTTGCTCAGTGCGCTAACTGCTGCCCCACCGCTCTCACATGAGAAAAAGTAAATATGTATCCATAAATAGCTCGCTGAGTGTCAGGCCTCCTCTTTACAGGGCCCTACATTGGGATGTTTGTAAAAGGAACGAACCCAGGGACCCAGAGAAAGCACGAGCTGACGAGGGGCCAACGGTTCAGAGTCCATACGGACAGGCTCGGGATGTAATTTCTGTACCACCAGGGCTTAATTTCAGTCGGTGTCTGTGGGACGATGACCCCGATAATATGTTCTCTCGCACTCTGGCTGGTCACTAATCACGTGCTTAGTCCATTTAACCAGCGACCCGAAATAAAGTGAGAAGTTAAGCTCTAATTACCACCGTTTTACGGCCAACTCGGCATAGTTTAAGCTATTTTGTACACCACTTAGCGTGTGTGTTGAACCGGCATCCCAGATTGATCTGGTCCTTGTCCAAGTTTCCCACAGGCGAACGCCTCTTACAGCGGCCATTTTATGACATTGACCATTTGTGAGCTTTTTCATAAATGTAGAGTTGTAAATTAACAATACTTCCTGATATGAATGTATTTATAGACACAAAATATTGCGTAACGCAAACTTAGCTTGTATACAATATCGCTTTCTGAAATCGGTGAATTTTCATTGCAGTGGACAACAATTTCCCCCCATGAAATATTTATCTGTGTGCACCACTTCCTCCTGATCCTCCCACTCCTCCTCAGCAGCAGCAGCAGCAGCGATGTTCCTGTCAGCGCTGCTCCGCATGAGCCTCCCCGGCGGCCGCCAGTGGGCCGGCAAGCACCGCCGGCCGCTGCGCGTGTCCTACAACAGCCTGGTGAAGCTGCGGCGGCGGCTCGAGGCGGAGGCTGAGAACGAGTACTGGCTGAGCCGCGCGTGGATGAGCCGCGAGCAGGAGAGCGGGCACATGGTGGAGTTTCGAACCAGCGCGTTTCGCGCTTTCACGCGGGAAAAGACGGCGGCGCGCTTCCCGCCGCACCGCTTCGTGAACGAGCACCTGCAGCAGCTGAACGTCAACAGGCGCTGGTGACCGCGGCGAGTGGCGATGGTGGCCACCGAGGCCTCCGCGTCGCGTTGTCCCCTCTCGGGGCCCCAGCGGCGTACTGCGCGGGCGGGTGGGCGTCGTGTGTTTGGGCAACGTGTCACTGGGCAGAAAGCGATCCGTCAGTAAGTGGCTGGGGCAGCCGCCTGCTGGTAGGACAACACGGCGCACCGTGAGCGGACGGCTGGGACAGCTCATTATCAGCTCATCGTGCTCGTCAATATCGGCTCGTTATCGGGACGGCGTGTTGCTGGGTGGCGCTTTTGTGGGCACCGCACCTCGCCGTACCGGCATCGTGTCGGGGGTTGGTGAGGGTGGCGAGGAGAGCTGGGTGTTGTGGTACCGCGTGGTGCTGGTGGCGTGAGGCTAATGTAGAAATTATCGAGCGTGTGCATTTGGGATGTAACGATTGGAACCACCAAATCCATTCTTACGCTCGTGATCCATGCATCAGATTGTATGTCTGAGGGCCAATTTATTTTTCCTTCATATTCATTGATGCCACTTCAAAGTATATTAATTCGTCTCACTGTAGACTAAACAAACTACAAGGAGAAAAATGTATTGCGACTCCAAATCATGACTTTGAAAATTCATCAAATTGTTGACCGAATCAATCGTTACATCCTTAGTGCGTGTATACGCGTGTACAGTTAGGTCGTGTTGGGCTCTGAGGTTGGGCAAGGGATATATTGTGCCTAGATCTCATGCACCATTCTAATCTTGAAGCAGATGTCATGTATTTGCCGATTTACAACATTGTAAAAAGCGCTGAATAAAGGCTTTTGATGGCGATCTAACACGTGGACTCGTAAGTTATGTTTTTATATAGAGTGCACTGCTTTAGTTTGTATTATCTTACGTTCATTTATTATTTGTGATTCCGTTAATCCAGTCTTGAAGCGGTGACGCAATATATAATGCACTGCGCGATAAACCAAGCAAACCTGAGTTCGATTCCCAGCCACAGCTCATTTTAATGGCAATCGATAGCTGGACCTGTCCTGGAGTCACCCCTTCGCCACCCCGCACTCACCAGCGTGGTAAAGTATGGTCCAATAATGCTCGTGATGAACACGCAATGCGGAGGCCCTCATCCAGCAGTGGATTGACAAAGGTGCCTATGAGCTTTTCCATTAAAAAAAAACCGCGGTGCATTTAAAAAGCAATCTTAAATTACATGTCATTGCCCTGCCTTGTCCTCCACGATATTAATAAAATGATTGACACCAAACTATGCCGGATCCCCGCTGCACTGCACGGCTTCGATATTAAAGGGAGGAGGGGGGGCGGGCGAGTTGAGCGCCACGTGCGTCATACCACGCGGAATGTTAATGGACGGAGACTTTTTTTTTACTTTCCGCTCGCCTTGTGGCTGCGTCGGCAAGCGGCGCGAGCCCGGGCTCCGCGTGACGGAGCTCTCCGTGGGGGGGCGACTTGTCGCGGGACGGTGCCCTCGATAATCGCTCACACCCCCCCCCCCCCCCGTGACAAGAAAGTGGCAAGAAGGCGGCGTGGTCGCACCATGGTTACGGCCGTGTTTGAGCGGAGGAGAGTTTAGGAAGTGGCGAGTTTATTCGTTTCGAGTGAAAGTGGTTGTGGCGACGACCGTTGCGGTGTCGGGCGGGCCTCCGAGCTGTTTGGAATTGGTGTTCCAAGCCAGCCGCCTGCACGTGGAACTGCTTTGTCGTGACGCTTGGCGTTTGGAACTTTATTTCTGTTAAGTGACGCCACGGTGATTTGGGGGGGGGGGGGGGGCTCTTCCGTATCTCGCGCCGTGCTTCGGGTACCTCTGACATCGTGGGACGGTCAGGCCAGGAGCCCTGAAGCCGAATATCGCACTCGCCGGTACCACTTGAGGTGGAATCACTTTCGTGGTTCCAACTTATTTCCGCGGCCAAATAACAGTTGATGTGATGACCATTGCAATGAGTGCATTATTCAAAGAATTCACTCTTAAGCCAAGTTAAACAAAAAATCGTTGCTACTGAAGTTTTTCTGCATTAGGTTGCACCTATGTTCTGCTCTGGCCCACAGATGGCTTCGGGTGTAGAGTTCATCTGCGTGTGACCTGTAAAACCCTTGGGGTTATTTTAATCCCCACGATGCTTCATCCCCCCGGTGTGCATCCAGGAAAAGCCGTGAGCCGCCCTGCTGGTAGACCGTGCCATCTGCGGTAACTGGGAATGGCAACCCTCGTGGACACTGCGGTGGGACGTTCCACATGCGTTGTGCCTCGAGTTGGCAGCGCCCAGGCTGGAGCTCAGCTCCCGTTCCAGGCTGGCTCCAGCGGCCGGAGCTCCAGAAGCACTGTGAAGCACACGGCGGCTCTGGCTCCACATAGTCTTTCCCTGCCAGCGACTCCAACAACCCATACTTTAAGTTATTACTACTTGTAAATAGACGAGGCAACCAAAATAACAAGAAGGGAATTTTTTTTTCGAATTCTGTAACAAACAAAAAAAATTATTTGGGCCTTTCGGTAAAGTCACGTAGATTGGTTCAAAGAGAATAACAAAAAAACTACGACATTTCGATCGCAACACAAGCGGTCCTGATGACGACCGCTTGTGTTTCGATCGAAACGTCGTAGTTTTTTGTTATTCTCTTTGAACCTATCTATGTGACTTTACCGAAAGACCCAAAGAATATGACTTCCTGCAGTCCTGAAAGCTTTAAGTAAAAACAAAACAATTTTAAGAGCGACAATGTACTTGAATATGAGATGTGCCTTAATAAATAAAATCACGAAGCAGTCTTTAAAGAGCTGCATTCGGCTCCGGAACTGCAAGTTGCCAACCTCTGAAAAAGACCAATCAGGTTAACGTTTTGTGTTTCATGTTTAAAAGGACAATAATATGACATGGTTTTAAGATAATTAAATACCCATTAACTCGAGGCCATTGGTGGCCCGCAAAGGTTCTTTGAGTGGCCTGCTGAGCTCTGGCCCACCGTGGGAGTTTCTGTGTGAAGACAAACGTGGCATCAACAAGGACGATGTATCCCATCTCATTGATATCAATTCTCAAACGAACGTTGCGTGCATCAAATCTCAAGTGTATGAATCTGGCGTAATGATGCATGCACGGATTTATATTGATTCCCAGTGCTCACAAGAGCCGCATCGAATCGCATGCTTAAGAAATTGTTTTTCAAATTATAGTATGCGTATTAAATTATTTTGTTGTTCACTCATTCGGCCAATGAGTGAACAAAACGATGACAATGAGAGTATGTGAAGAGGGAAGTGGGGGGGACGTGGCATCAGATGGGATTGAGGGAGCTTGAGCCATGGACCTGTCAGCGCACTGAGCAACCTGTGGCATCATAGCGTGCCCTTGTGAATCGTAACATCAAAGCTCACGCTATGAACTTTAAAAGCGTAACTTTACTCTGAGCTGCGACATCACCCCACCCTGTGAGATGACCGTGCGCTCCGTGACATCTCTGCATTATCTCTCCTCTGTGACATCTCTGCATTATCTCACCTCCGTGACATCTCTGCGTTATCTCTCCATGACATCTCTGCATTATCTCTCCTCTGTGACATCTCTGCGTTATCTCTCCGTGACATCTCTGCATTATCTCTCCTCTGTGACATCTCTGCATTATCTCACCTCCGTGACATCTCTGCATTATCTCTCCTCTGTGACATCTCTACATTATCTCTCCTCTGTGACATCTCTGCATTATCTCACCTCCGTGACATCTCTACATTATCTCTCCTCTGTGACATCTCTGCATTATCTCTCCTCTGTGACATCTCTGCATTATCTCTCCTCTGTGACATCTCTACATTATCTCTCCTCTGTGACATCTCTGCATTATCTCTCCTCTGTGACATCTCTGCATTATCTCTCCTCTGTGACATCTCTGCATTATCTCGCCTCCGTGAAATCTGCATTATCTCTCCTCTATGACATCTCTGCATTATCTCTCCTCTGTGACATCTCTGCATCATCTCTCCTCTGTGATATATCTGCATCATCTCTCCTCTGTGATATATCTGCATTATCTCTCCTCTGTGACATCTCTGCATTATCTCTCCTCCGTGACATATCTACATTATCTCCCAGCTCCAGTTCCACTTTGGCTCCAGTGGTCCCAGCTCCAGTTCCACTCTGGCTTCAGTAACCCCAGTTCCACTCTGGCTCCAGTGACCCCAGCTCCAGTTCCACTCTGGCTCCAGTGATCCCAGTTCCACTCTGGCTCTAGTAACCCCAGTTCCACTCTGGCTCCAGTAACCCCAGCTCCAGTTCCACTCTGGCTCCAGTAACCCCAGTTCCACTCTGGCTCCAGTGACCCCACTTCCACTATGGCTCCAGTGATCCCAGTTCCACTCTGGCTCCAGTAACCCCAGCTCCAGTTCCACTCTGGCTCCAGTGACCCCAGTTCCACTCTGGCTCCAGTGACCCCAGTTCCACTCTGGCTCCAGTGACCCCAGTTCCACTCTGGCTCCAGTGACCCCAGTTCCACTCTGGCTCCAGTAACCCCAGTTCCACTCTGGCTCCAGTAACCCCACTTCCACTCTGGCTCCAGTAACCCCACTTCCACTCTGGTTCCAGTAACCCCAGTTCCACTCTGGCTCTAGTAACCCCAGTTCCATTCTGGCTCCAGTAACCCCAGTTCCACTCTGGCTCCAGTGGTCCCAGTTCCACTCTGGCTCCAGTGGTCCCAGCTCCAGTTCCACTCTGGCTCCAGTGACCCCAGTTCCACTCTGGCTCCAGTGGTCCCAGCTCCAGTTCCACTCTGGCTCCAGTGACCCCACTTCCACTCTGGCTCCAGTGATCCCAGTTCCACTCTGGCTCCAGTGACCCCAGTTCCACTCTGGCTCCAGTGACCCCAGTTCCACTCTGGCTCCAGTGGTCCCAGCTTCAGTTCTACTCTGGCTCCAGTGACCCCATTTCCACTCTGGCTCTAGTAACTCCAGTTCCACTCTGGCTCCAGTGGTCCCAGTTCCACTCATTCTAGAACATAAAAAACTCTGCTCAGGCTCGAGGACCTCAGAGCCAGCTCCAGGCCTCCAGAGCCAAGGCTCAGCCAACCCTATAGCTTCAACTAATGTTCTCCACTCATTTGCAGATGGGGGGAGGGGGGTGGGGAGGGGGCAATTTCGCCAATAAGACATCAATGTGAGGGCCGCCGCACATTTTACACCATTGGGGTTTGACAGCAGCACGACAATGGGGATGTTTTCACATGTTGTGTATTGTCGGGAGCTGCACGTCAGGGGCCGCACTAAAGTCCACCAGGGGCTGCCAGTGGCCCTTGCAATGAGTCTGACTTGTTGAGCTTTTTCACATCAAGACAAAGTTCCACTGGATTGACACAGGTGAAGAATGGTCTCGAACAGAATGGGCCACAAGGGGAGCCGTGAAGCTGGCACAAGACAGATCTCATTCGGCCCCATCCTATATATCTGCATCATCTCAAGCCGCCCGTAAATCACGTGACTTCTGTGTGGCCACGCCTACTTTGAATCACTCGCCGCCCCCTGTGAAAACAGACGCTGCTCGGTGCAGCTTGCTTCTGCTTGCTCCTTCTCTCTCCCTCTCCCCCTTCTCATCATCATCACTCTCTCAGTCCCTCCACCTTGGTCTGGTCATTCCTCCTCTTGCCATTCCTGCCCTGCGCTCCCTCTCTCTTCCTACTGCTCATCTTGAGTCGTGCCCTCTTTTGTCTGTCTTGGCATCTTTCCCCGTTCGTGTCCAAACATCACATCCTTGACTCTACTCCCCTCCCCGTGGTTATGCCACGGGTACAAACCTCCATCGTCTCTACGCGCAGACGGAAGGGATCT